GCAGGTGTTCTGCCACTGAGAAAAACGATCAGCCCCATATTCTTGAAATTGCAATAAAAAATATATATAAGGTAAAGTTTACACTTTTAATGATATTAAGGGTGTCTTTCTGTTCAGACACAATAAGTACATTCACACTGGTGCACAACCACCAACCCCCATGCATGTCCAGAACTGCTTTGGCCTTCCATACCATAGTTTCATCTTAGTGTGAGATTGTGGTTGCACAACAATGTGAATATATATTAGTGTTTCGGGTTTCAAGCTGGCCTTGAACTCACTGCATACCTAAGAATGGCCTTGAACTCCTGACTCTCCTGTCTCCACCTGGAAAGTGCTGGGATTACAGACTATACCCATCTAAAGAAGGGCTGGGGCAAATTGAGCCCAACACTTTCTTGCAAGCCAGACAAACACTCTCTAAACTGAGCTACACCCCCAGTTTGCCTTGTTTAAGCTTTTGAAGAATTAATTTAAAAGGGATTTCCCAGCCCCTGCTCCCAAGCTGGAGGCAGTGGATTCAGGCTTTGATGGCAATCAGGTCTGTGATGGATCAACCCTCAAGGGCTCTGCTCAAGGGTGAGAAATTATAGGAATTTACTCCTGAAAGGGGAGGCGTGGGTTCCTAGGGAGTGGGACCTCAGCACCACACTAGAATACCTGATTTACTCTGCCCTTCCCAGGCTCTGGCCAGAGCCCATTAGGGAAGCTTTCAATTTTGCCCATCCTCCAACTGTCTGAGGTATCCATTCTCTTCCATTCCTTCGTCCAGGAGCCCACTCATTTCCTCTGGAGGAAAGTTGACCTCTATTAGGAAGGACCAGGGACTGATGAGAACTAGGATAGGAGCTTACAGTGTGACTTGCTTTGGAGGGGTCTGGCCTCATAAGGACTTTCAGTGCTGCTCAGGTGTCCCATGTCCCCCATCTGCTCTGGCTCCTCTCCTAGTGGACTCTAGAAGGAGATACTTCCCCCAAACCCCTACCTTTAGCCCTAGAATCTACATTGATGTAAATAGTGTCCCAAGCCATGTCTACTACAGTCACCTGACATGAGGGGTTTCTGGGCTCTGTGCCCTCCTGATAAGGCAGGACTGGGCCATGCCTGGCTGCTTTCAGTCAGTCACAAGTTGCTCCCCTGGCCAGAAAAGGGAGGGCTGGCTCTGGAAGTCTGGGACCACACCAGCCTGTAGACAGGTTTTGTCCAGTGAGCACTTCCTAGTCTGAGGTTGAGGTTGGGGTTGAGAAGGGAGCAGAGTCTCAGGCCTTTAGCTTGCAGGAATGTCCTTCACCCCACACAGAGACCCTGAAGTGGGAGTCACTTACTTAACCCTTTTGAGCTATATGAATAGGGATTAAAAAAAATACCCTGAAGGGGTTTTTGGAGAATTAAATATGAATGCTCTTGTCCTTGATGCCCTGCATTCAAAAATTGTTCATTAAATGCAGTTTCTCTGCCAGCTGTGGTGTTCACCAGCACTAGGGAAGCAGAGACAGGTAGAGCTCTGTGAGTTCAAGGCCAGTCTGGTCTACAGAGTGAGTTCCAGGACAGCTAGGGCTGTTACACAGGGAAACACGGTCTTGAAAACAAACAAAAGAACAGAAAAATAACTTACATAACTGAGAGACCATCTCTCAAAAAACAAAACAAACAAGCAGACCCCCCCCCAAAAAAAAAACCCCACTAGGGAAGCAGAGACAGGTAGAGCTCTGTGAGTTCAAGGCCAGTCTGGTCTACAGAGTGAGTTCCAGGACAGCTAGGGCTGTTACACAGGGAAACACGGTCTTGAAAACAAACAAAAGAACAGAAAAATAACTTACATAACTGAGAGACCCTCTCTCAAAAAACAAAACAAACAAGCAGACCCCCCCCAAAAAAACCCAAAAAACTAGAATGCACTTTTTCTTTGCTTCCTTCTCTCCAAGACCTTATGACCACAGCTTGGCTTAGGCAAGTGAGAACTGGTATGAGAAAGTTATTGTTTCTTCGTGCCCAGAAATACTGCCACAAATGATGGCTTCCCTGAGACCACATAGCACTACAGTACTGAGCTGCTGGGCTGAGTGGATTTGGATGAATGACAACCATAGGGGTGAAAGTGTTCCCAGAAGACCTGCCCTTTTCCAGGACCTACTATGACACCAAGTGTCTGTATCTGCCATCTGAATATCTCACACAGGGGGCCTCCTCACACGGGGGGAAGCTTTAAGCTCCCTGCTCAACCAGAGTCCCCCATGTGGTAATTACCTCAACTGGGTGGCTTTTCCAGAAGAGGGGACATTTTCACTCCTGCCTCCTTCATATAGAAACCAGTCTCAGAATGAGGGTCGATGTTCTGCTCAGAGGTAATGTCCCCAAACCCACTCACTGGGTTGGAGTCTGTGGGAATAGGGTAGCTCTGGATACTCATCTAAAGTCCTCAAGGATTAAGGACTATTGCTCTAATCCAACATTGTCCTTTTAATTTTAAGTTTTAGTTTTCATATATATGTATAGATTTGTGCAAATGAGTGCAGTGCATTCTAAGACAAGAAGGATCCTTGGGGCTGGAGTCACAGGCATTTGTGAGTGACTTGATGTGGGTGCTGGGAACAGAACTCAGACCCTCTGTACACTCTCTGCTGAACCTTCTCTCTAGCCCCTCCAACATCGACGCCAAATGCTTAGAAGGGACCTGAGTGTAGTTAAACATCTGATTGTCCCACCTTTAAATTTTTAAATTTTTTTTATTTGTTGTTATTATTATGGAGGCTTTGAGACAGAGTCTCACTCTGTAGCCTAGGCTAGCATCAGTCTTTCTGCTTCTGCCTTCTATCTATAGCTATATATTATATACATTATATATTATATGCTACAATATATAATATTACTCAATGTGTATAATTATGCAGTGTGTATAATATATGGCTATCACATTGTAGCATAGGTTGACCTGAGACTCACTCTGTACCACAGGCTAGCCTCAAACCCATATTGATGCTCCTACTCAGCTTCCCAGGTTCAGCCTGAATTTACAAGTGTAGAACACCATGTCTGGCTGAAATTCTTTTTTGTTTTTTCAAGACAGGGCTTTTCTGTGTAGCTTTGACTGTCCTGGGACTCCCTCTGTAGACCAGGCTGGTCTCAAACACATAGAGATCCACCTGCCTCTGTCCCTCCGAATGCTGGGATTAAGTGTGCCACCACCTTGAAATTCTTAATTTAAAAAGTTTTTAGAAGCCAGGTGGTGATGCACACCTTTGATCTTGGGAGGCAGAGACAGGTAGAGCTCTGTGAATTTGAGGTCAGCCTGGTCTACAGAGTGAGTTCCAGGATAGCAAGGGCTGTTACACAGAAAAGCCCTGTCTCGAAAAAATAAACAAACAGAATTTTTAGATTCATTTAATTTTTATGTGTATGAGTATTTTGCTTTCGAGCGCGCGCGTGTGTGTGTGTGTGTGTGTGTGTGTGTGTGTGTGTGTGTGTTGGAAGAGGGCATCAGATCTCTTGGAACTGAGTTACAGATAGTTTCAACCACCTGTTCGTGCTGGGAACCAAACCTGAGTCATCTGCAAGAGCAAAAAGTACTCTTAAACACTGAGCTACCTCTTTTACTCAACCGAAAATAAATTTTTATTCATTTCTATGTGTATGGGTGTTTTGCCTGCGTGTAAGTCTGTGTAACACACATGTGCCTGGTGCCCAAGGAGACCAGAAGAGGCCGTCAGATCCCCCAGGGACTGGAGTTACAGCTGTGAGCTGCCAGGTGGGTATTCGAACCTATGTCCTCTGGAAGAGCAGCAAGTACTCTTAAGTGCGGAGCCATCTCTTCATGGCCCCTCTCCCATTTTTAAAAAGGGTTTGGCACTTTATTTTGCACAGGCGCCTGCAAGTTACACAGGTCCCTGACTACCGAGCTCTCAAAGGCAGAGTGAATAATGCTCCCATTAAGGAAAGGTGGAGACAGGCTTGCAGGGCATACAGTCAGGAGGGATGAGGCACAACTTCCCTGGCTAGTAGAGGCTGCCAGCCTCGGGAGCACTGCACACCCACCCAGTGCTGGTGACGTGGCAGTGGGGAGGTAGAGAGTTGAGGGGAGGCTGTCCGCAGAGAGTTGGGGGGAAGCAGTGAGGACTTTGGCAGAGACTAGACTAGGCCTGGGTCTCTCTTGCTAGCTGTGAGAATTAATCTGAGCCTCGGTTCCCCCAGGTGGAGGAGGAAGAAAGTAACACCTGTCTTGCAGAATCACCATAAGGCTTGCCCAGCATCCAAACCATCCCACTAGGTGCTAAAAATACTTGATTTCTATTTATGGGGGAGAAAGGGAAACAGTTTTCTCCAAAAGAAGGGGACTCACGTGTCCCACGTGCAGCCTCTCAACCACCCAGGGTCTTTTGGGAGTGTCGGGGTGGGGGAACTTCAATAAACCCCTGGTTTCTGCTTTCCATAGGCAAATTAAGGACAAGCAATTCTGTGTGAAACGGAAGTCAGAGCCCTTCATGAAGGGCTGCCGTCGCCCCCTGGTGGTACTTTATGGTATCTGCCTGCGTTTCTAACTGGAGAAATAAATTCTTGGTAATATTTTAACGTAATTTACTGAATATGCATTCTGTTAGGCACTAAAGCTACAAGGAGAAAGACGCTGCTTGTTACGGTTTGGTGGTGACGTGGCAGTGGGGAGGTAGAGAGTTGAGGGGAGGCTGTCCGCAGCTTTGGGGGGAAGCAGTGAGGACTTTGGCAGAGACTAGACTCAGGCCTGGGTCTCTCTTGCTAGCTGTGAGAATTAATCTGAGCCTCGGTTCCCCCAGGTGGAGGAGGAAGAAAGTAACACCTGTCTTGCAGAATCACCATAC